TAAGTGGGGATGAAAGGGGACGGCTTTTTGTGGACAATGTGTGATGAAGCAACTCCAACAGATCACCTCACTGCAAAGTGAAAGTTCAGTAAAAACAGTTCTTGCCTGTTAGAAAACTAGGTGTGTGTTTTCAGATATTTGTGTGTTGGTAACGATTATAACCAATAATCCTTACTTTTCATCATAAAACACTAAATAGGACTGCTGACCACAAGGTTGGTGGTTCAATCCCAGTAGCTGCTCCACAGGAGAAAGGTTGGGCTGTTTGTATGTACCTTGGTAGCATAGTGGGTTACACATTGGGATGCTAACCACAAGGCCAGCAGTTCAAGGCCCTCACTGGGAGAAAGATGAGGCATTCTGCTCGTAAATATTTACAGCCTTAGAAACTCTACACAGGGCTGCTATGAGCCAGAATTGACTCGATGACAATGGGTGATCACTGAACATTAAATCAAAATGCATTAAATACAAACTCAAAGAAACAAATTTATTTAAAATAATGCAACAGGTACTCATCATAAATGATGGCACGGGAGTTTGAGGGAGCCACTGGCTCTTAAGCATGAGAACATTGCTGTATGCAGACTTCCTCCTTGGATGGCCATGCGTCCCCAAACTCTCATCCCATTTCCCACATCAATCCTGCATGCTGCCTCAAACACCAGGTTAGTGTCGATGGGGAAAACACACTAAGGCATACAAAGTTTAAATCTCTTTTCAGGAAAGTCAGACCTCTTCATTGCTAACTCCCCTGAACTGCCATCAGTGCTGTACAACAGTGGACTCTGTACAACGATGCCAGCATAAAATCATACAGCAAGGCCCTGGAGACCATGAGTGACAGTGCTGCCCAGACAGCATAGAGAATCTACCTACAGCATCACCCAACCGGCAGCGTAGGTGATTCACCTACAGCATCACCCAACCGGCAGCGTAGATGATTCACCTACAGCATCACCCAATCAGCAGCATAGATGATTCACCTACAGCATCACCCAACTGGCAGC